CTGTATGTGGGATCCAAACCCTCGGGCGGGAGCGCCGCCGTGCTTCCCAAGCGGCGCACTATCCAGTGTGCCACCGGGCCGGCCCTCTGCCCATTTTTCAATTGGATTGTTTTCTTACTGTTGAGTTGTTTGAGTTTCTCATATATTTTGGATATTAACCTCTTATCAGATGTATAGTTTGCAGATATTTTCTCCCATTCTGCAGGCTGTCTCTTTACTCTGTTGATTGTTTCCTTTGCTGTGCAGAAATTTTTTAATTTGATATAATCCTATTTGCTTATTTTTGCTTTTTGGTCTGTACTTCTGGGATCACGTCCAAAAAAATCTTTGTCCAGACCAATATCATGGAGCTTTTCCCATGTTTTCTTCCAATAGTTTTACAATTTCAAGTCCTACATTTAAGTTGTTAGTCCATTTTGAGCTGATTTTTGCATATGGCTGGTGCTAAACTCATTTAGTCCCCCAGGCAAATTCCTCTTCCTTTGGCTTTTATTTCACTGTTAATCAGTGTCAATTAGTCCAACTGATCAGCAAGAGATTTCTGCGAGGGCAGTTAGCTCTGTTTCTGACAAGAGGCTTTGACTGTCCTGGGTTCCCTGCTTTACTGGTTTGTCACCTCTGTCTTCTACAGCTACGTTAACAGGCCTGTGAGCTTCACTGCCCCCTGCAAAGTGCCTGAAATCTTTCCCACATTTCTTGAATGTGTACTTTGAGATTATCAACTGTCATTATACAGTTGAGACTGACCCAGAGTGCCAGAACTTTTGATAGCATTACCAGCCCACGGAGTTTTCAGAGATTTAAATATCTATTTTCATAACACCCTCAAGTTCTCTTTTTGTGTCCTCAGGGAGAGATATGCATAAATTTATTCTATTTGTATTGTGGCATGATTCGGAATGCAAAACAGTCATTCGAACATAAATGGCCAAATTCTCATGTATTAAGCCCAAACACTCTCAGTAGACTTAGTAAATGAATGAATTTCTGTGGCAGCTCAAACTTGTCGAATATGTATTTTTATCAAGTTGTCTACATAGATTTTACTGGGTTAGCAATAAAAGGTGGATAGATGTCTGTCTCCTGCAGGGCCCTGAAGCAAAGACCATGTCTGCTAGATAACTCCTGGTGTCACTGTGGGCTGTGATTCTGGGAGAAAGCTGCTGACAGTTGTGATGACTAAGAATTATAGTATTTCGCTTCCAGCAAAAATGTTTATAATGGTATCATAATCAGGTGAGCCCATGGGCATGTAGTTTTGGTAAAAGAAACAATTGAGAACCACTCATCTAAATAGCCCTGGATTTCTTGACACTCAGCATGCAAACACCCTTGTACATGCATTAATTTGAACTGCTTGTTACTTTATCAAAACTACATTCCTTTTACGTGAAACATTGAATGACAGATGGCATGGCCTGAATTTATCTTAGAGATTTATAGTTCACTCTCTTCAAGTGATAGTCACATACCTAAAAATGCATAGAACTGGGAACAAAATCAAGGTTCTGAGTCAAAAATTTTAAGAAGCCTCTAATGGAGATGTCACTGCTCTGACATTCACAAATGTAGGTAAATTGATGCCTCTGAGGATTAAATTAATGACAGGAGGAATATAATTATATAAAAGAGCTCCATAATCTATGAAGCACTACATTGAATGAAGGTTATCATTGCTTCTTTTATTACATTTATTGAGCATCCATTATATGCCAGGCACTGTTCTTAGCTGTTTAGATTCATCAGTAAGCAATTCAAAGTCCATAAAGCATGTAAGAGGGACTTCAAAAAGTTCATGGAAAGATTCGTATTATCTTTTAATTCTATTTTTCCGTGAAACTTTTGAAGTACCCTCATATTTCTAGTCTGGACAGACATTATATAATAGGTATAATATAAGGTCAGGAGTTGACTGATGATGCTTGATATAAAATAAAGAAAGGTAAGTGTATAGAGAGGGACAGGTGCTGCTGTGTTGCACAGCGTGGTCGGGGAAGGCCTCACTGAGGAGGTGACATTTGATCAGAGGCCCGAGAGATGGGAAGGAGTGAGCCCGTGAGGACCTGGAGGAAGAGGGAAAGACATGAATGTAGAGTGTTCAGCGTACAGATGTCATCTATAACCAGGGACTGAGGTCATCCAGGGAGAGAATGTGGGGAGAATCTATGTAGGTAAGAGAAGAGGGCACTGTTAGGGCACTCCGTCACTCAGAGGGCACAAAGAGGAAGAAGAGCCATCAGTGGAAACCAAAAAGAAGCGACAAGTCAGATGGGAGGAAAACCTGGAGTCAGATGGGAGGATGTCCCTGAAGCCGAGCAACGAAAGTGTTTCAGAAGAGACGTGAGCAAGTAGCCACCCATCCAGAAACAAACAGTTGAGTTAAATCCCCGCCCTACCTAACATACAGAAGCACGACCCACTCGAATTAAGAACCTAAAGGTGAAGGGCAAAACTTAAAAAACTTTTTGAAGGAAGTATAGGCAAATATTTTTCTAGCCTTGATGAAAGGAAGTAGGTCTTTAAAAAGACGTACCAGAAAAGGGAACAAACTAGTAAAATATAAAATACTATTCATCAACAAACACAGTTAAAAAGGTGAAAAGACAAAGCACAAACATCACATGTAATCACCAGAAGCTACTTAATAATCCAGAATGTATAAAGAGTAACAAATTAGTGAAACAAAGACAACTCAATCAAAAAATGGGCAGATGACATAAACAGGCATCTCTTCTTGGAGGAAACATGAATGGGCAATAAATATATGAAAAGATGCTCAATTTCATTAGTAATATGGAAAAATGCAAATTTAAGTACTCAAAAGATAACATTTTACCCCCTCTGGATTGGCATAAATTAAAAAGTCTGACAATACCAACGATATAGAGCACAGAAAATATCATTTACTGCTGGTGGGAGTATAAACTGTACAAGCACTTTGGAGAGCAATTTTGGTATTATCTAGGAAATTGGAAGATGCACATACCCTATGGCCCAGCAATCTCCTTCTAGAGAAACTCTCACCCATGTGCACCAGGAAGCCTGAACAAGAATGATCAAAGCAACACTGTTTGTAATACTGAAGAAAAAAAAAAAAGGAACAACATAAATGTTGTCAGTCAGATAATAGAGAAATAAATTGTGATAAAGTCACTGTGGTTGCCAGCCTCCAGGACAGCCTCGTACCCCTTTGTGTAGTCACCTGTTTACTGGAAGCCAGTAAAGTCTTGCTAGTTCTATCGTACCTCAGCAACAGCAGTATCTGACTTTACTGAGCACATACTAAGTGCCAGGGGCCGGCCCCATGGCTCACTTAGGAGAGTGTAGCGCTGGTAGTGCAGAGGCTGTGGATTCGGATCCTATATAGGGATGGCCGGTGCGCTCACTGGCTGAGCGCGGTGCGGACGACACCAAGCCGAGGGTTGCGATCCCCTTACCAGTCACACACACACACAAAAAATCTTCTAAGTGCCAGGCAATGCTCTGATCTACAAGTGTAAAGTTGTCTGACAATGTGAGAGGCCCCCCAGAGGCTGGAGGATACTCAGGGGGCAGAGTTAAAGCCCAGGACCAGCCACATCCATATATCAGATCTAAAGTCAGGACTAAACTTCAGGTGCTGGTACTTCCTTACATAGGGAATGTGAGATCCAAACTGGAGTGAATATTGAACCTGGAAGCTGAGAAACAAATGAAGTCAGAACTAGGAAAAACTGTGGAGAGGAAAGGAAGGTCTGAAAAAATGTACCCAAAGACAGACAATGAGAAATGCTGCTAAAAACAACAGTTACAGGCCACAAAGTATAGAGAGAGGATATTCAAAAAAGGAGTGCATTACACACATAATATATATATATATATATATATAAAGCGCTTTATATATATAAAGTGCTTTATATATATAAAGCGCTTTATATATATAAAAAGCATTATCCTCCTAAAAGCATTAGGGGTTTGAAATTAAATACTGGTAGCCTGAATCTTTTATTTTTAATGTCTAACCCACTGTACTTAAATCTAGTTTGGAAGTAAGTATCTTCTCCCGTTATGCTACTTTATACAAATCCTTCTACATTCTTCAAACCAGATTTGGGGCAGTAGAAACATTTTGCTAGTTTTATGGTATTTTAAAAGGATTTTCTTATAGGTCTTGATATCTTATCTCGTTGCTTCGAATTTGCCTGACTAGAACCCATTCCAGTGTCCTGAAGTGAAACAAGGTCAGTCCACATGAAACTGCTGTTCTAAAAATTTGTTTCTATTCTTATTCCATCAGTGTGGGTTCCGAGGGTGGGGATCTGTGAGCTGATTTTTTTTTCCTGTTCTTGTTTTCATGTCATAGGTCAGAAACTGTACTTCTTTTCTGCCTCTGAGCCAGAAAGAAGAAAGAAAAATGCGACATGAATTTGGCCCCAATGGCTGCAAGTGAGGGACAGGGTCATTTCCTGGCCCCAAAGTGTATCTGGTTACGTTCCTTCAAAGTGTCCTCTAGTCATTACTTTTTTGCAATATAGAAGAGACAACCATGGACAAGGTGAGGGTGGTGACACTGTTCAGCAGAGGAGCAGAGAGGGGTGTGGGAACAGAATTCAATGCAGGAAACCTGGACTGGCCACCCTTGACGCAGCCTGCATACACCTGGGCAAACTCATTCCTATGTAAATTCAGGTTAATTGCTGCTAAAATTATACTGGATTTTTTTTCTTTCACTCATTATTGTTATAAGAAAAAATCTAGGAAATTCTGCAATTAATTGCTTAATGAACCAAAGTACAATCGGGAAGCCTTTAGCTCTTGTCCCCAGCAAGCCCTGTGAAAGCTAATTTTCTTCACTAGCAGATTCAGGCCTGCCCAGTTTGGGAGCCAGTGTTTATAAGGGTAAGAGCAGATTGGTATCTTTCCTCACTTCCTACACCATCACTACGAGTTCAGGTCAAGAATTTGTTGTGCTATTGAAGGCCTGGTATCTCCTGTGTGGAGTAAGGACCTTGTTATGGGCTGAATTGTGTCCCTTCAAAATTTGTATGTTGTTCGGATGTGAGGGCGATCTGGCTGCGACATCTGTCACCCCATTGATCGCCAGGGTTGATTCGGCTGATCTGGCTGGCTAGGCGGGTGTCCCCTTCCTCCCTCACCGCTCCATGTGCGTCCCTCCCGAAGCTGCGTGCTCGGTTGAAGAGGACGACCTTCCCCGCTAGAGGAGAGGACCGTTCTTCGGTCAAGGGTATACGAGTAGCTGCGCTCCCCTGCTAGAACCTCCAAACAAGCTCTCAAAATTTGTATGTTGAAGTCCTAACCCCCAGTACCTTAGAATGTGACTGTTTTGAGAGAGAGAGCTGTTAAAGAGGGAATTAAGATGAAATGAGGTCATTAGGGTGGGCCTTCATCCAGCATGACCAGTGTCTTTATAACAGGAGATGAGGACTCAGACACACACAGAGGGAAGACCACGTGAGGACACAGAGGGAGAGGACGGCCACCTGCAAGTCAAGGAGAGAGGCCTCAGAAGAAACCAACCCTGCCCACACCTTGATCCAGGCTTGTGGCCTCCAGAACTGCAAAAACACAAATTTGTGTGGTTTTAACCACCCAGTCTGTGGGACTGTGTCATGGCAGCCCGAGCACACTATGTAAGCCCCAAGCTCTCCTTCCCACCCAGTAACAGCTGTTCCCTTCTACTCATTTGCCATCCCCTACACATATGCTTCTGTTAGAACCGGTCTCTGTCCTGAACTGTCCCTCAGACCAGGGCTCAACAAAGACCTTTTTTCTGGTGGACTAATGAGTACAAAACTACACCATCTACGAATCATTGTGCAATGTATGCAGGTATGGGAAGAACGTACTGTACCCCACAATTATGTGCAAGTAAATGTGAAAGTATTTTGAATAAAATTAAAACAAAAAAAAACCCTTTTCTGTAGAAAGTGGATAGTAAATATTTTAGACTTTGAAAGCCTAAAGGCAAAAGAAACAATATTATGTAAGTGCTTTTGTAACCATTTTAAATGGTTAACTGCTTACACTTAAATACACACACTCATTGCAACACTATTCACGATAACCAAAAGGTGAAAACAATCCAGGTGCCAATCGACAGATGAATAACAAACGTGATATATATGTGCCATGGATTATTATATAGTCTCAAAAAGGAAGGAAATTCTGACACATGCTATAACAACAGAGGAACCTGGAAAACATTATGCTCAGTGAAAGAAGTCAGCCACAAAAGGACAAATATGTGCGACTCCACTTTACGAGGTTCCTAGAACAGGCAAATGTGTAGAGAGAAAGAATAAAGCTTAGCAGGGTCTGGGTGGAGGGGGAGTTGTTACTAAATGGATACAGGGTTTCAGTACTGGATGATAAAAAGTTATTTCCAGAAACTTGAATTGATTGTTGAACTTGAAATTGGAATGGATTGTGGTGATTGTTGTATAACTTTGTGAATGTACTTAATGCCACTGAACTGTACATTTAAAAATGGTTAAAATGATAAATTTTATGTTATCTATAGTTTACCACAATAAACTATTTTTTAAAATGTATTCATTAAAAATGTGGAAAACCAAAATGGGGGGAGGGGCAGACAGGTGCGGGGAGGGAGGTAGACTCGGCCCAGGGACCGTAGTTTGCCACCTCCGCCCTGAACGGTTTGGCTAGGGTCCCTCCTCTATACCTTACTTCCTTAACAAAAAGCAAGAGATCTGCTCTAAAAGAAACAGGCCACCTGTAACTGTCAGTATCTGCCATCGTGTATTACTGTCTGGAATGATTTCTTACTCTGCCCCTTCTAAATTGCACACCTTGGACATCAAATTGAGCCTAAATTTATCGTGCTTCCTCAGACCTTCTTGGCTACTCACTTCTGGGGACAACCCTGCCCTGGTGACTCACCAGCCCCAGACCCAGGTCCCTGTTTTGTCTCCGTCTCCATCAGCCTGCGCTGGTGAAGTCTCTGTGTGCTTTGGGGCATACGGATGGAGACGTTTGAAGCCTTTGCTTGGGGAGTGACTTATCCACGGAGGATACAAACAATTTAAAGAATATGATTCTGGTTTGGCCGTAACAGGATCACCACTTAATACCTGAAATAAGAAAACAAAGCTGCATTTATTGTTTACTGTTGCAGAGGAGAGCTCCGCGGGTTGGCTCAGTCTCTCCCAGCAGAGTGTTGGCTTACACAGGCTTTTGGAGAGGTGGAGCTCAGGGCTTGAAGGACTTTCAGAGGCACAAGGTGACATCCTCAGTGGGCGTATGGTTAGTGCCTGAGCTGCTGCCGATCGGTTGGCACTCAGAGGTGTGTTTAAGTGAGCCAGTCTCTGGCTGACCTTCAGAAGGCCATAGGTGAGCTTGTAAAAGTGTGTTCACTGAAGCGAGTTGTCACTGATTGATTGAACAAATGTAAAACCGGTTCTGGTGGTTACTTGTTACCACAGCTATGAAACAACCAGGCTTTTTTTTTTTAATGGCTTGTGGGAACTTTTTAATTCTTAGATATCATCTGTGTAGCTGTCTCTCTAGCCATTAAAAATCAGCCTTCTCTTTTCTGTGTTGCCTCAGAGGTGATCAGCTGCTTCAAGACGAGCCGAACATGTTCCCAGACACTGGCTGCAAGCAACCCATTGAAGAGGATGATGAACGCAAACAAGGTTTCCCCAAGAAGTAGGGTGTCTGCCTGCTGCTGAGCAAGGGACATTCTGGTTAGAGACCCAGGAGAACTGGAGAAGGAAAGGGCAGATCTGTTCTGGGTTGCACTGTGAATGCCAATCTGAGTGTTCTCCATTTGCTTATTGTGAAGGATGTTCCCGGACTGACTGACACCACGATGCATCAATGCCCAGGGCCCAAAAGAGCTGGCAGAATCCACAAACTTCTCAATGTCTCCAAAGATGCTGCCCATCAGTATGTTGTGAGAAAGCCTGGAAACAAAGCGAGAAGCCCAAGACCAGCACCCAGGAGTCAGTGGCTTGTTACTGCACACGTCCTACAACACAAACGTGGGCGTGCTGCTCTGAAGAAACAGCGTACTAAGAAAAACAAGCAAGAGGCTGCAGATGTTCTGCTAAACTTTTGGCCAAGAGAATGAAGGAGGTAAAGAAAAAAAAATGCAAGAAACAGATTGCCAAGAAACAGAGGCTGTCCTCTCTGAGAGCTTCTACCTCTAAGTTTGAGTCCAGTCAAAAAAGAAGGTTTTCCAAGAGTAACATATAAATATGATCATACATCAAAATCCAAAACACGGGGCTGGCTGGTTAGCTCAGCTGGTTAGAGTGCGGTGTTAGAACACCAAGTTCCAGGATTCAAATCCCCATACTGGCCAGCCCCGCAAAAAACCCAAACAAAAACAAAGCAAACTCCCATCTGCCTTATCCTCCATGGCAAAGACTCCCAATAGCCTACCTAATATCCATTTTCTCCTCCTTCCTACTAACAGAACCCTGTTTTTGCTCAGGGTAGCAATGTTCCCAAGAACGACATTTCCCAAACAGTCGTGCATATTGGGTTGACCATGTGCCACGGTCCTAACGGATGAGATGTGTGCAGAATCACAGGGTGCTACTTCTGGGAAGGCTCCTTAAAATGCGAACAGAGACTGTTGGCCTGCCCTTTTCTCCTTCCTGCCTGGAAGGGGTCATAATGTCTGGGGATCAGTAGCCATGTTGGATTCATGAGAACTAAAGCCACACCCTACTGATGGCAGAGTGAGAGACAAAGAGCCTGAATATGGTGGAGATGTCACATCAGCTCTGGACTGCCTGCCTCCCGACTAGTACTCAGATCAACTATTCCAAGTTGACTTTTCTGTGTAGCCAGACCTATTCCCAATCCATAAGCCTGCCCTTCTGTCCTTATTTCTTCACCTCACAATTGTACGAATGGCTCCATTGTGTCCTCATTGCACAGCAGAGCACTGCACAACAGACAACACAAATGCACTGTGAATGTACGTATATTTGTTGAGCGTGTAATTCCCAGATCAGGTGTAAACGATATGACGAGGCAATGAGAAATACGAAACATCACCTACAGAGTAATCTCGCCAGAAATATTTACACCAAAGCCAATCATGAAGAAACTATTAGACAAATTCAGCATGGGGGACAATCAATAAAACAACCCTTCCAGAAAGTTCCATGTGACAAAAAAAGTAAACAAAAAGGTGGTGGTGAGGGGAGACTATTCTAGATTTAAAAAGACTAAAGAGGGCTGGCTGGTTAGCTCAGTTGGTTAGAGCATGGTGCTGATAACACCAAGGTCCAGGGTTCGATCCCTGCACTGGCCAGCTGCCAAAAAATACCAAAAATAACGAGAACAAAAATGAGTGACCTTCTCAGTTGGTTAAAGAGTGATGCTGATAAAAAGACTAAAGAAATATAACAATCAGATGCAATGTGTGAATCTCACTTGGATCCTGAATCAAACAACAAAACATATTCATATCACCCAGTATTCTTAGATTTACCTGCCTGAAACCCCAAAGGCATCCGCAGTGGCCTGCATTGTATGGAAAAGGCACTTCTCAGCGGATAGATTCCCCCACTCCAAACGCCGCACAGACCACTCAAATCAAGGGAGAACTTGGAGTTTTTGACTCCAAAAAGTACTTCTTGTAGTCGGGATATAGAAAGAAATTCAGGAGTTTCTTTACCATTCCGAGGATCTCTACAAGGAGAGAAGCTTAAGAAGACTTTTATTTTTATTTATTTTATTTATTTTTTCTTAATTTTATTTTGTTGATATACAATGTGGTTGATTATTGTGGCCAATTACCAAAACCTCCCTCCGTCCTCCCTCTCCCCCAACCCTCCCAGCAATGTCCTTTCTGTTTGCTTGTGGTATCAACTTCAAGGAATTGTAGTTATGTCTTCTTCCCCCCCTCCCCGGTTTTTGTGTGTGTGTGTGTGTGAATTTATTTATTTATTTTTAGCTCCCACCAATAAGTGAGAACATGTGGTATTTCTCTTTCTGTGCCTGACTTGTTTCACTTAATATAATTCTCTCAAGGTCCATCCATGTTGTTGCAAATGGCAGTATTTCATTCGTTTTTATAGCTGAGTAGTATTCCATTGTGTAGATATACAACATTTTCCGTATCCACTCATCCAATGATGGACATTTGGGCTGGTTCCAACTCCTGGCTATTGTAAAGAGTGCAAGACTTTTAAATCTATCAGGGTTGATCCTGCATGGATTGATGGGCTGTTGTAACCAACATATAATAATTCTGCCACAAGCCTCCAAAGCACCAGGGTTGCTGCTGGGAGGTGAGTCTGGGGTGCTTCACTGGATATGCAGCAAAACTCAGCCACTGCTGCCACTTGTCATAACACAGCTGGCGTGGCGCCAGGGCAAAAGAAGGGGGCAGGCTGTAGAACAGAAAACAATGACTGTGAAGTTACTTCTTACTGAGTGGCAGAGAAGCTGGGAAACTACATGGGTATAAACTGTGAGACAACGCTAGATGAGGTGGTCCACTAGGGGGCGGTAGAGCCCCGTGGTTAAGGGCACAGGCTCTGCGACAGAGAGAGGGCGTTTCCACCTGGGCTTCTCTGCTTAGCTGACAGGTGACCGAAGGCTACTCACAACCTCTCTGAGTGTTAGGTTCCTCACCTGTAAAATTGAGATTAACAGTATCTACAACATAGGTTTGTTGTGGATTATACAAGTTGTAGACAATATATGGATAACACATGAGCCTGGCATATTGTAAAAACTCCACATTAACTATTATCATCATCTGATGAAATCAATTATTCACAGGACCAACAGAGAGGAAGGCTGGCCCCGCACGTATACATCTGGGGGTGGGTGTGCAGCAGGGCAGACGAAGACACAGGTGCATAGGAACTCCCTGAGCAAAGCCTGGAAAATGCTGCTCACCAGGGTGAGTTGAGAAATGAATCACTCTGGGGAGATGGAGGCAGGTGACACATCAGGCTGGGGCCACCCACCCATGTTCTCCAGCTTTAACCTTCATCTAGTTCCTTTTTACTATATATTTAACTGTGGTCAAATACACTTAAAATTTACCATCTGAACCATTTTCAAATGTCCTGGTGAGTGGCATTAAGTGCACTCACACTGCTGTGCAGCTGTCACCACTATTCAGACACTGAACATCTTGCAAAACTGCAGCTCTGGACTCATTAAAGTACAACTCCCTACTCTCCTCCCCCCAGCTCCTGGCAACCACCATTCTACCTTCCGTCTCTACAAGTTTGCCTACGCTTGGAACCTCGTATAAGTGGACTCACACAGTATTTGTCCTTTAGTGTCTGGCTTCTTTCGCTGAGCGTAATGACTTCAAAGTTCATCCATGTTGTAGCATGTGTCAGAATTAACTTCCCTGTTAAGGCTGAATGATATTCCATCACATGTGTATAGAACATCTTGTTTACCCATTCGTCTGTCAATGGACACTTGTTACCCTTGTCTAGTTCCTTCTGCACCAGGTGGCCCATCAAGAACTTTCTGGAGGAGAAAATTTTCTGGCTCAAGGGAACTAGAGGCTGACCTCTGGAATGAAAAGAAACTTCCAATACCTCAAGGGCCTGGGAGAACTAGAAATGATTTGCAGAGGAAAGAAATTCAGCCAGCATACAGACTCATATGCACGTACAGTCCTTAAATGTCACTCATACAGTGAGGGGTGGATTTGTGGATTCCCCATAACAGTTACTAAGTTATTGCCTCTCAGCTCCACACCCAGGCATCTCTGCTTGGCCTTGTGATGCCAGGCTGACACTGCAAACCCCACATTGGGCTCTGTCATGAGAGATGCTACAGGAAGACTGCAAGCCTAGGGAAGGGGGAGGGACTTGCGACCTCCTTGCTGCTGCCGCCCCTCTGAGCAACACCCCAGCCACACTTCCCCCAGCAGGGGCGGTGCTTTCCTGTGGCTGCTGCGGAATCCACTTGTCAGTGTTTCCACCACTCGCACCCTCCTCAGAGGCTCGGGTCCCGTGGGACCACTGCTCTCAGTCTCAAGGTTTTAATAATTCCAACCACATCCCTTGGTCTGCCCAGCCCCAGAGGTGGTGGCTGCTTGCTCTATGGTATCTTAGAGTTCTCTTTGTATGCTTACAGTTACCTAGTTCACTCCACATGTAGTTAATTCTTTATAATTATATCTTTATATTTACTTCTCTCTCTGGTTCCTGTCCCCTGACTGGACTCTAACTGATACACCTCCAACCACTATCTCAAACTTTTAATGCCCTCCCCAAGCCCTGTTTAACTTGACCCCTCACTCTAGGAAGGATGACCCGGCCCTGTTTCATCCAGAAAATCAAAGCCATTATAGGTGACCTCAAATACCCCTGCTACCCCCTCCCCCTCTCGTCTACAAACATTTCTATAGCCAGTTTCCTTTTTTTCCATCTCAGAGGATAAAGCAGTTTCTCCCTATTCAATTCCAAATCTTCCACAGGTGCTCTTGAGCCCAACTCCTTCCCATGTCCTCTTGGACCCTGCTCTGGCCTCATATCTTTTCCCAATTCTTAACACACTCCTCTCTAGCATCTCCAGGAAGACTGCTAGGGACAGGTGAAAGGATCGGTGTGTACTCCTCCTCTCTCGCATCAACTGCATCCACATTTTCTCCCAGGGCCCGTCCGCCTGTGCAAGCTCTGTAGTCACAGCATCCAGCACAGTGCCCAGCAGGCGGGAAGCAGGGAAATCACACTGGGTCAGTGTTTGCTGAATGAATGAGATACACAGGAGAGTTACTCACCTGTTTGCTGAAGGAATCACTGAATGGGTGGGATTCTGTCCTTAGCAGAGCTCAGGGGCACATCCCAGAGCCACATTTCTCACAGTGGGGTCCTCGGACCACCTACATCCGAATCACTTGGGAAGCTCATCACAAATGCAGACTCAAAACCCAGATTGATGGGAGAGTGTCCAAGGGACACAGGAGACAACAGAAAGAGCTACCAGTGGACAAAGACGAAACAATTTGAGCAACGAAACAAAGTAGTACTGGGTTACAACCCAAAGTATAAAATCAATACCCATGAGTCCATACTGACTGATGTAAATGAATGGCTGAATAAATAAATGGGGGAGAAGAGGCAAATCTCCTGTACAGAAGAACTGCAGATAACTTATGCAGATACTCTGTCCTCAAGGAGGTGGACCGTAACTGCCCACTCCTTAAGCGTGACTGTGACTTTGTGACTTCCTTCCGAACACTACAGCATGCGAGTTGGGGAGAGTAGAGAAACCTGACAAACACTCCCTCAGCCAGGTGGTCAAAGTCAAGGTCAACAGTGGTAAGTGAGGTTGGTAGTGTGTACCCTTGATATGATGTGATGAAAACAGCACTTCACCTCCGTGAACTTCCAAGGACCCATTACCCCAGTCCTGTCATTAGAAAAAATATGAGACAAATTCCAACAAAGTGACACCTATAAGATTCCTGACCAGTATTCCTCGAAACTCTCAAGGTCATCGAGAAAAAAAAAAGGAAAATCTGAGAAACTGTCATAGCCAAGAGGAGCCTACGGAGACATGACGACTAAGTGTAATGTGGAATCCTGCATGGGATCCTGTAACAGAAAAAAAAAATTAGGTAAAAACTAAAGAAGTCTGAATAAAATATAGACTTTAGTTAATAATAATGTAGCAATACTGGTTCATTAACTGTCACAAATATACCCTGCTGATGTAAGATGTTAATCAAAGGGGAAACAGTGTGGTTTTATCGGAACTCTGTACCATCTTCTCACTTTTTCTGTGGATCTAAAACTGTTAAAAAAATAAAGCCTATTACAAAAATTTTTAATGCAGATTCCCAGGCTCCCATTAGGATCTCAGGAAATGAGCCTCGGGACTCTGCATTTTAAACAAGCGTCTCAGCTGGCTTTTGTGCACACCAGTTTGAACACTGTTGTGGAGAATCTTTGCTCAGAGATATAAAGAATCGTTGCTTACTTGGCTTGTGGACCCAGGCGACCACACTGCACAATGCCTGGGTCACCATTGATATTGTGTTCAACTTACAGTGGTAATGGTGTCCCTGAGGCTATGGAGTAGACGCGCATCAGCCGCAAGCCTTCCCGCAGCATTACTTTGATTGGCCTAGCCAATGTTTAACGATTGGGAGAGGGGCTGGCTGGTTAGCTCAGCAGGTTGGAGTGTGGTGCTGACAACACCAAGGTCCAGGGTTCAATCCCTGTACTGGCCAGCTGCCAAAACAAAAACAATTGGGAGAGTCTTCTTTAAGTCCAAACTCTGGGCGGCATCTCCACCCCCATGCCCTCCTAGGAGTGGCTCATACCTTCAGATGGGCCATGCCGATCAGTTCCACTGTCTCCACCACTCCATATTGCTGCTAACACTTTAGGAGATGCTACTATCATGTCTGTGTTGTTGACTTTTTATAGAAAAAAGGAACAACAAACCAGTTCTCTGCATCTGTGTCACTATCAAAAGTGGGAAAATGAAAGATACATCAAGTGAAGCTGGGTTTTTAAAAACTGAGAGAGCGCCTTTAGTCGTGTGATGGACAGTATTATTTTGTGGAGAACATCCAAGGCAGATGGTCTGACGATTCACACACAGCTTCCTCCCTCATTGGTGGCACCGGTGGACATTGCAGTGTAGCAGACCCCACTTGGACCTCACGCCAGCGAGGGATGGTGCAGCCATAAACAGGCCTGTATTAGTCTGTTTCTGTTGCTTAAAACAAAATACTTTAAACTGGGTGATTTATAAAGAAAATGAAATTTATTGCTTATAGTTTCTGAGGCTAGGAAGTACGAAGTCCAGGGAACACATCTGGTAAGAGCCTTGGTGGTGGCATCAGTGACAGTGGAGTATCACATTGTGAAAATGGTGGAGCAGAGAGAGACGAACGTCCTGATTCACTTTCCTTTTAAAGTCCTCCAAACCAGGCCCTGGGCCATCATTTTTAATCCATTCACTACGGCATGGTCCTACAATCTAATCACCTCTTCAAGCCCCACATTTCAATGATCATAATAGGATTTCCCACCCTCAACAGTTACAGTGGGGATTAAGTTTTAGGGAGACATTCAGCCCAAGGCAAGGCCCAAGGTGGACGCTGGAGGGAGGGGAGGGAGAGAAAATGACTCTTCTGTCCCCTCTGTTTTGTCATACCCTGGGAACACCACGGGGAAAGTAGCTCGACTCCCCAGAGAGTCAGGATCCTGCTGGAGCTAAGCCAGAGCTGCATTCTCAGGCCCTTCATCAAATGGCATGAACACACTGTTCTGGTTCTTTCTTTCTAATTACTAATTTAGGAACAAACTGTCTCATGAGTGATCCAGCAGAAATAGACAGACTTGATTTTGAGAACTGTGTTAACTTCCTTGCCAATGTTCAGAGTGTGACTATTAAATGATGATTATAATAGCGAGCACTTACTGTGGGCAGGACCTGTTCTGAGTGTTTTAAAAAAATACATTAACCTATTTAATGCTCATTAAACCTCTAGAGGCAGGTATTCTTATCACCATTCCCTGTTTACAGATGGAGAAACTGAGGTGCAGAGGTGCGCAGGAGACCGACTTGAGGGCCTGCGTTAGTGAGCATAGACAGAGCTGGGATTTGAAGCCAGGCTCCAGGCATGGAGCCCCTCACCACTGCACACACCATCCTGGTCTCCAAGAGGATGAACAGGTGTCTAGAGCATTCACTCTCGCAATGTGTCAAGTTGCCATAAAAAACACAGATGGCATTATTACCTACTTATATTTTATGAACGTAACATACATTTGTGTTCACATTTTTTTTCCCTTTTTTTTTTTCCTTTTTGTCTTTTTTCGTGACCGGCAACGGATCGCAACCCTCAGTGTCGCGCCCGTACCAGCCTGGACCGGCAACAGGATCGCAACCCTCGGTGCTGCGCCCGCACCTCGCTCAGCCACTGAGCGGCCGGTCTGTATGTGGGATCCGAACCCTCGGTGGGAGCGCCGCCACGCTCCGAAGCGGCGCACTGTAGCAGTGTGCCACCGGGCCGGCCTGTGTTCACATTTTAAGGTGATGTATAATATACAACATATGGCACCAGTATACAAATTATTTTACATAGAATTATTGATAAAATCCCTGACATTTTCTGATTTGGCATGATGGGCTGGAATTTCTATAAACCAGGAAAAAAAAAAAAGTTGTTCTGCTGTGAATTTGCTTGGAATAACTTTTTAAATGATACTTTTTATCTTAAATATTCAGGTGGATTGTTTTCTTTACCAATCCAAACTTTGAATTTCTTAGTAGATTGTGTTGGAGTCTCTCTTCCTTTCCTGGAGTTCAGGGATTAGACCTTGTCGGTTATCAGCACAAATGTATCATGATCAATGATATTTTATGCCTCTATTTTTTTTTTTTCCCTTTTTGTCTTTTTTTCGTGACCGGCAACGGATCGCAACCCTCAGTGTCACGCCCATACCGGACCAGGACTGGCCACGGGATCGCAACCCTTGGTGTCGCTCCCACCCCTCGCTCAGCCAGTGAGCGGCCGGTCTGTATGTGGGATCCGAACCCTTGGTGGGAGCGCCGCCACGCTCCGAAGCGGCGCACTGTAGCAGTGTGCCACCGGGCCGGCCTGTGTTCACATTTTAAGGTGATGTATAATATACAACATATGGCACCAGTATACAAATTATTTTACATAGAATTATTGATAAAATCCCTGACATTTTCTGATTTGGCATGATGGGCTGGAATTTCTATAAACCAGGAAAAAAAAAAAAGTTGTTTTGCGGGGAATTTGCTTGGAAAACTTTTTTAAAGGCCGGTCTGTATGTGGGATCCGAACCCTTGGCGGGAGCGCCACCGCACTTCCCAAGTGGCGCACTGTAGCAGTGCACCACCAGGCCGGCCCCTATGCCTCTATTTTTATGGGTAGATTATCATATACCATTAAAACTCCCTGATGGAAGAATAATATGGAAAATTGGAGAGGATTCAAAAAAAGGAATAAAAATGATCAAATGGTTGAAAAGTTACAGAAATATTTAGTCTGGAGAAGAGAAGGCTGAAAGGTGTTTGAAAACTCACTTCAAATAGATGAATAGACAAATCAAGCGGATATTGAACAGATGTTTTAGTCATCTTGTGGCTGGTGGAGCAGATTTGGTTAAGGCCATTGCACAGAGCAACTGTAAGGGAATAAAATGGGAGAAACAGTGCCAGAGTGCCAGAGATCAGAGCTATAACCAACAATGGGCACGTTTGAGTTGGAACGATGGCTGGAGCACAAAGACAGTGGTTTGATACTCAGCCAGATGGATACATGATGTCAGGACTATCTAAGGTCAGTGTCAGGATCCCACCATCCCTGTGCACCTTCCTCTCTCCTTGGAGTCAGGCTCCCTCACGCAGGGGCCGCCTGAGTCCCACTCTGTCCACCTGGCATATTTGCACAGGGCAAACCTCTTTAGCTTGCACGTGAGGACAGACTGCCATCAGCTGGCTCAGAAAACCCAAGCTGTTGTTCTTTTGTATCTTCTTGGACATTGGTGGGGTACTTATTACTGAATAATTCCCTTATAAACACTCTAATCGCAGTGGGCATAAGGATATAAACATTTGACAAATCAGAGCAACCCTCTCTCATTCTAACATTTTAACCAACCCCAGCTTCTATACATATGACATAATTGTAGCAATATAAAGAAACTCTACCAGTAGACTTCCTGAGACTCTTCTAGCTTCTGGTGGTGACCTGCAATTACTGGAGTTCCTTAGCTTGCAGCTGTATCCCTCCAATCTCTATCAATGAACCGTCTTCCCTCCTGTGTCTGCGTCTCTTATCCTCTTTTTATGAGACCGCCAATCATATTGGGTTTAGGACCTACACTACTCCAGTATGACCTCATCTTAACTAATGACATCTACAATGTCCCTATTTCCAAATCATATCACATTCTGAGTTGCTTCAACATATCTTTTTGGGGGATACAATTCAACACATAACACTGAATGAAAGACGTAGGTAAAAAATTCCTGGGCTCAGTTTGCCATAAAACAAAAATAGAAAAGCTAATCAATAAGCAAAATTAAGTGGCATATGATGGTCAGTTCTTAATACTTTGCTTTGTATTTACAGCTTATTTTCTGAAATTTAGAAAATATTTTCATGTGTCCTTTTTTTATTAGTTGCTGTGGTAATGATACACTCCTTATATGTCTGCATATTTCAATGGCATTTCTATGGATTTACAATAATACATGCTGCCAGTAATGGGGAAAAGGTTATGAGGAATTTTCTACACAATATTTTAAAGATTATCTCACCTTGGAA